TGTCCATCATGCGCATGCGATTGCGCAATAGCCTCCATGGGGCGTCATGGTGCGACAGCAGTCTTATCCTTTCCATCATTGCCAGAGGGTACTGGCTACCATGGAAGGGCGCGGAGCCTCTCCCCTTCGAAGCGCCCAATCACGCAGGCGTCCAAGCACACATGGCATTCACCCAAGACGCGGTCAGCGACCTCATCGCGTCAGGCGCCGCGATGCATGTCTCGTCGAAAGCCGCACTTACGTGCAATCCAGCCCGCTCAATGTTGTGGAGCAACGAGACAAATGTCGGCTCATCCTTGACCTGCGGAAGGTCAACGCTCACCTCCAAGTTCCCAAGTTCAAGTACGAAGGCTTGAGTCGGGTCGCGGAAATCATTCGCCCAAACGACTGGATGTTCACAATCGATCTCAAGTCAGGCTACCACCACGTCGAAATCCACCCATCGAACTGGAAGTTTTTGGGCTTTCAATTGGGCGGAAATTTCTATTGCTTCACATCCTTACCTTTCGGCCTGGCAACAGCCCCGTTCGTCTTCACCCAGCTTATTAAGCAACTAGCCAAGAGATGGCGCCGCTCGCGGAGTGCGCGTAATACCATACGTGGACGATCTACTATTCCTCTGCGACTCCGAGGCGCTAGCCCGTTCGACGTGCATCGAAGTTCTCTACGACCTGAAGGCGGCAGGATTCGTGATAAATTCTAAGAAATCACACCTGCATCCCGCACACCACTTGCGCTTTTTGGGGATGGAGCTTGACACGGAACGAGGGATGTTCATTGTCGGAAAGGATCGGCGCGAACAACTACTGCAGGAGCTCCACCTACTTATAAAAAAAGGGCAATCGGGTCGCCAAGTGCCGATTCGCAAGATAGCCCGGATCACTGGATTTCTCAGCTCCATGTCGCTCGCGCTGGGCACGACGGCGCGTGCCTTCAGCCATGAGCTTCTGCACTTGATCGACTCCGCATGGTCATGGAACTCAAAGGTTTTATTGTCACCAGGAGCGACCGAGGAGCTGCTGTTTTGGACAATGCACTTCGATCGTTTCAATGGCGCCCCATTCCACCAGAGTCAGCGTTTTGATGCCGTGATACACGTCGACGCAAGCGCACACAGCTGGGGTGCCACTCTGGCCAAGTTCCCAAGTACATCATGCGAGGCAAGCGAGTGCATGCCACAAGGGCTTCTCCCCACATCTAGTACGCGGCGAGAGCTCGAGGGAGTGCTCTGGGCACTGCGGACGTTCGCAACCCAAATGGGGTGCTCACGTCCTCGTCCGGGTAGACAACCAGGCAGTCATGTTTATCTTGCGCAAAGGGGGATCCCGTCAGGCGGATCTTACGTTGACATGCCAGCAATCATCCAGTTCTGCCTCGGCAACACAACACGCCTCGCGATCGAATGGATTCCGAGAGAGCTCAACGCCCATGCGGATGACCTATCCAAGATGCAAGATTTTGACGACTACTCCCTACACGCACCTTGGTTTCGCCTCTTGGAACGACGCTGGGGGCCTCACACAATTGATCTCTTTGCTAACGTTCGGAACAATCACGTTCAGCGCTTCTGCTCTAAGATACCGCACCCCGACGCGTTCGCCGTCGACGCATTTTCCATCTCGTGGACAGGCGAGCGATGCTTTGCCTTCCCGCCTCCACACTTAATTCCCGCTACACTCCGCCATTGCCGGAACTGACGCAGACAGAACTCACGCTCGTCGTTCCACAGTGGACCGGAGCGTCATGGTGGCCGCTTCTCCAGCCGTCCACTCAATCGTGGGCTCCGGCAGTAGTAGAGCACCTTTCCCTTGCCCAAGGCAGCCAATGCCTTCGGGCAGGTTCACACACAGCTGCATTCTCTGGTCTCGGATTGCCCCATAGCCCAATCATTGCTTTGCGTGTAAACTATGCGGTCTAATAACAATTTCTCAATGTGTCATTTCAGGACTTTTGGCCAAACTAAAGCAACAATTGATGCACGTAATTAGCCACGTTCGCGCACCATCTACAATCGAGACGTACCAACCTTATTGGCAGAGATTTCGCACCTTCTGTACCCAAGTTAAGCTCGAGTTCCTACCGGCAACCGACCTGACGCTAGCGCTGTATCTCATCCATGCGCTCAACAACAAAGCAACTCTCTCTGCGATCAACCTCACGTGTTCGGCAGTAGCCTTCGCCCACCGCATGACAGGCGAAACCTCCCCTACCGCTGGCCCACTCACCCTGCAAGTGCGGGAGTTCGCCAAGAGACATGGCCCTCGGCCTACAAGGACCAAAGAGCCGATCTCTCTCCATCAAGTGCACGACATGGCTCGTCCCTTCCTCGAATCACCAATTCCTGCGGAATACCAGAAAGGATTGATTCCTCTTCTCATGTTTTCTGCATTCTTGCGCTACTCCGACCTCGTCTCGCTCCAATGGAATGATGTACAGTTCGAGGAGAAGGCAATGTGGCTGCTCATCCCGCACTCCAAGACGGACCAGGAGGGGAGGGGAGTCTGGATCCCAGTGGCAGCAATTCCAGGCCCATACTGCCCGGTGAGGTGCACGCGCACATTTATACACATCGCAGGCCTCACAAAGGTGCCACATGGACCGCTGATAAGGGTTTTCCCGAAGAACTCGCAAGCCACACCGAACGACAAATCACCATCCTACGTTACGATCAGAAACTGGTGCCTCGCGGCCGGCAGGCAAGCTGGACTGGATGTCGCGCACATCGGAACCCACTCATTCCGCAAAGGCGCAGCCACGGCGGCGGCAAGCCTCGGAGTTCCTGACCGGCTCTTCAAACGCATGGGCCGATGGCGCAGCGACAGCGCGAAGGAGATGTACGTTACAATCGCGCAGGATCAGCTCATCTCCCTCTCTACGCAATTGCAGGATCCTTCGACGGCTCCCTCGCCCGCTACGCATCAGCTGTCAATCGAACGACACCGCCAGCCCCGACTGCACTTGCCTCAGAAGACCCATATGAAATGATAACGCTGCCTTTGCCAGTCAGCCTAAGTACACTTTCACAATATGATAATTTTTGAAAGTGTAATGAAATGTAACACTTTCTAAAATTTTGTATTGTGAAAAGGGGTACGTGGCCAACACAGCAAAGGTAGCGCCGAAGCGCTACTCACCCTCTTTTGCCTACAAAAGAGGGACGTGGGGACATTCGTCCCCACCCACGTTTTCATTTTCAAAATTGTAGTTCTAATTTCCCACCCGCCCACCCATTGTGTATGCTGTTATGTAGATTTATATAAGACGAGAACGATGTACTACAATCCATATGAAATGATAACGCTGCCTTTGCCAGTCAGCCTAAGTACACTTTCACAATCCTCTTATCACATAAACTTGACTTTCTTCCCAGCGCCATCGCCCCCACCGGCAATTATTGAGTCGGCTCAATATTCAGTCTGTCAGTAACATGCAACTTGCACCGCTACTAATCATCCAGAACCTCCACCACATCCACCTTCACCTTCTTCCCAGCGCCATCACCCCCTCCGGCACTCTCCGTCCCCTTCTCTTCCTCCCGCCGCCTCTTCCTCTTCTCACCCGTTTCCCCAGCAACAGCAGCAGGAGCAGCAGCGTCAGGTTCACATAGAACCACGTCATCATCATCGTCGTCATCCTCCCCTCCTGCTGCGTTCCCTTCTTTCTTCTCCCCGTTCTGTGCCTCTGCTGCTCCAGCCTCCCCAGCAGACGCACCAGCTGTAGCAGCCGCAGTGGCGTCGGCTGGTGGCAACTGGCCATGGAGAATCATCTTCTCAGGATGTTCCTCCTCACTTATGTCCTCTCTGAGGTTATGTGCCACAAGCGGATGTGACACGGAAGGTTGTGATACAAATGAATGTTGAAAAACGTGGCGTAACAATCGCGTCACACTCCACGACACTAGATTTCAGGCCTCGCCTTCAGAGGCATGTGCCCAAATGGTTCCAAAGGAAGCAAACAAACCGGCTACAAGAGTCAGGACGTGCAAGAGAGTGAAAAAGTGCGAACCCAAGCGGCATAGCAGGTTCTAACAGGTTCCTGATAAGCAGTATTGTAACTGTGTTTACTTTGGTGGTCGCACTTGGGCTTAATCTGCGCACCTGTGCTTGGGTTGGTGGCGGTCTCACCTGTGCTTGATGTGAATGGAGCACTTGAAGTGTTGCAAGTAGTCCTCAACTGTCAGCACTGACCCTGAGCTCACTGGCGTGGGCAGGTCACACAGCTTCTGCTCTCATGCGCATCCACGGGGAGGAATGTGTATGGGTTTGGGTGGATACAGGGGAAGGTGATGGGCGCATGCATGCATGCATGTGCAGACACATGGATGGATGGGCGAAGACAGGGGCACTTGGTGATGCTGTGTGTCCGTGTCCAGGAGTGGACACTGGTTACACACAAGGGGTGCAGAGATAGGTCCGTGCATGCATAGACTGCAATAATGCGAGAGAGGAATGTGCTGAAATTGATCAGGGCAGCGAAGCCTCCTACTCATCCTCCTCCAGGTCCTCGCCCTCTTCATTACCAGCCCACTGCTCACCATTACCATCAACCCCGCACCTAATCCCCACTTCCTACTCACTTCCCGCCCCCCACCCCCCTTCGTGTTTGAAGAAGTGTTTTGAGACGTCTCAAAACACTTCTCCCCACTTCCTACTCACTTCCTACTCACTTCCTACTCACTTCCTACTCACTTCCTACTCACTTCCTACTCACTTCCTACTCACTTCCCGCCCCCCACCCCCCTTCCCCACCATCTCCCCTCTTCGCCTCGCCTCTCACCTTGCTTAGGTTCTTCCGGTTTCGCAGCACCTCATCCTCCTCCAGGTCTTCCCCCTCTTCATACACCAGCCCACTGCTCAGCATCACCATCACCAATCCATCCCCACTTCCAACTCACCACCCAACCGCCTCCCTTCCTTCCCCTCCCTCTCTCCCTCCCCTTTCTCCTGCCTCTCACCTTGCTCAGGTTCTTCCGGTATCGCAGCACCTCATCCTCCTCCAGGTCCTCGCCCTCTTCATAGACCAGTCCACTGCCCACCATCACCATGGGCTGTGTCGCCGACAGCTGCCGTCTCACCACCCCCTCCACCACATCTGCCAACGTCGCTGTCTTGGTGTTCACCTCTAGCACCAGGGGCGTCTGGGTGAGTGTCAGGGGGGAAAGTGGTTTTAAAGCAAGGGGGGTGGAAGGGGAGACGAAGGGGGCAGGCAGTAACAAACTCTGCTATCCAGTTTGTTGGACAATCACGACGTGCCTCACCATACCCTCCACCACATCTGCCAATGTGGCTGCATTGGTGTTCATCTCTAGCACCAGAAACGTCTGGGTGGGTGGGTACGGGGAGGATGATGATAGTGGGAAGTAGCGGGAGAATGAAAATCTGCTAGCGGGCCAATGGTATTCATGCTTCCTGACATGGTACACACAACGCATTGTCAGGTTCCAGACATGGGGGGGAAACGGTTTTTGCGAACTCTCTCAAATCGCTCACAAGCTTCCAGAATGTGGGGAAACGGCATTAGAGCGAGAGAGCGAGTGAGAGAACGGGAGGAGAAATGGGGAAAGCAGATACAAGCATGTCTGGACCAGCACGCGCGACAAGTGTTCCACAGCACACGTTCAGGGAAATGACAGAGCAGAGACACTCAGGCAAACAAGAGTGGGTTGCTGACCCGGGAGCAGACGTGGCAGGCGGGGTTGGGAGTGTCCATCTCGAGAGGGGCGAGCAGGGCCTTGCGCTGACTGGGGAACTCCGTGCACCACACCATGCTGCACATGCATGGGTGGGGAGAAAGGCGGGGGAGAAAAAGGGGGGAGGGGGAAGAGAAGAAGGGAAGAGGTGGGGAAGGGAGGGGGAAAGGGGGTTCTGACAAAGGAAGACGTTACGATTGAGTTCGTAACATTGAGAAAACACTAACTCGGTTGCATGAGGACGATGCAAAAAGGGTGTGGCAGGGTATAGCGGGGGAAGGGAGGGAGGGGAGGGAGGGGAGGGAGGGAAGGGAGGAAAGGGAGGGAAGGGAGGGAAGCGAAGGGATGGTCAGGTCAGGGGATCCGAGAAGAATATTCCCAACCTTATTTCCCAAATGTCCCCAACTAACCCTTCCACCCTCATTCCCCCTGCCTTACTGACTGCGGCTCCTTGCAGTAATTCTCCTCCTCCAAGCACCCGCACGGCCAGCACATCCCCTTCTCTCTTCCTAATTTAACTTCCCAACGCTCCCCAACTCTCCCCAGATTCCTCCCCCCTCTCTCCCCCCAAGCCGCCCCCTTCTTTTGTCTCACCGGGGCTCCTTGCGGTAGCTCTCTTCCTCCAGCAACCTTACAGCCTGCAGCACCACGAGCCCAGCCACAATGGCGTTCGTGGTCGCCACTGCATGCACAATGTTCCCCGCGATGCCCTTGGCGGCGAACAGGCTGTGCAGCGGGATGCCAAAGGAGTGCATGCGCAGGTTGGCAGCTGCTGTCACGAACTCCACTGCCAACTCGTCGTCCTTGTCGAATGTGAGTGACCCCAGCTCCTGCCAGATGTGGTGATGTGGATTTTGTTTTCCCAGTGGGAGGGTGGGCAGGGTCAAGGGGAGAGACGGGTTGCATGGACAACGAGTGAGCTTTGGGACGAGTCGGTGTTCCCCGCAATGCCCTTGGCGGCGAACAGGCTGTGCAGCGGGATGGAGAAGGAGTGCATGCGCAGGTTGGCAGCTGCTGTCACAAACTCCACTGCCAAGTCGTCGTCCTTGTCAAAGGTCCGAGAGCCCAGCTCCTGGGGTGGGAGGGGTATTGTGAAGTTATTCTGTGTCCCCCTGCAAAGTCTCCTGCAGGTTGGCAGCGGCTGTTACTAACTCCACTGCCAGCTGATCGTCCTTGTCACAGGTCAGAGAGCCCAGCTCCTGGGGAGAACAGTGTCGTAGGGGATATTATGGTACGCATGCAGGTGGGGGTGGGGTTGAAGGGAGAAGCGGGGTGGATGGAAAAGAGAGAGAACAGAGCTCAATGCCTGAACGGTCATCCCTCACCTCTCCCCCACCTCTCCCTCACCCCTCCCTCACCTCTGCGCGCTCCTCCACAAACAGCTCAACAGCCTTGAGGAACACCCGTGCGTTCTCCTGCACGCTCCACACCTTCTGCACGTCCCTCCACCCCAGCCTCGCCATAGCTGACACCCGCTTCCCCTCCTTCCCTTCCTCCCCCTCATTCCCTTCCTTCCGCTCCTCGCCCCCATCCACTCCTGCAGGAAACACATCCTTGAGGTACAAGGGCGTGGGGCGCGCCCTGTGCTTCCACATATCGTCCATCTTCAGAGTCCGCGCCACGTTCTCCCCGAATATCCTGTCAAACACACGGCACGCAAACGCACGCCCGCTCTCCCCATCCCTCCGAGTGAAGAACTCCCACTCTTCCTTCTCCACGGCTGCTGCCGCTGCCTCCTCCTCCTGCTTCTTCTTCCTCCTCTCCTCCTCACTCTCTTCCACACTGCTGCTTACACCGTTTTCCAGCGGGGTTCCAGTGGGTGCAGAGGCAGCAGCAGCAGCAGCAGCAGCAGCGCCAGTGGTTGTGGGGCCATCAGCAGCGGTATCACCAGCATCAGGTGGAGGAGCAGAGGAAGTGGTGGAAGGTTGGGCATGGAGGTCCGTTGCTTGACCTCGGGGGCCAAAGAGAGCCACGAATGGGAGCTCCTTGGCCCACACAATGCAGTGAACCGGCTGATGTGCGTGGAGCGCACAGGGAGAGAAGGGGAAAAGGCAGAGGGGTAGGATCTGATATATGCTGAGAAGATTATCCATGTGACGAGACTCGGGATGGTTTGTGGACGACACATGTTGCAATGCTGTGCATGTGCATGTGTGGATAAATCTGAAGCTGAAACGAGTGTGGGAGAGCGTGAGCGTGAGGTGTGCACTTGCCTTGGAAGGGGTGTTGGTGATGGTGCACGTGGGGTAGGACTTGGGGGCCTGCTTGGGTGTGCATTCGTAGCACTGACTCACGCCCTTCACATGCACTGTCACCTGGGAGAGAGCAACGACAGAAATGCGATAGAGCGGGAGAGCACAGACTAGACAATTTTAGTGTGCGAAGAGAGGGTGAGAGAGAAAGAGAGAGGAGGAGGAGGGCATATTGGAAAGCAGTGTAAAGAAAATCTGCAGCATGCAGTAATAAGGCCATACCAGGCCACGGACTCTTCAAAAGACACTTATTGGAAATAATTGTTCAGAATATCTGCAAAATCCTGTGCTGCCTGTGCTGCCCGTGCTGCCCGTGTTGTCCCATGAGGCCCGTGCTGCGCTGCCCTGCAGTGCACCTTAGTTCTCCCCAACCCAGCCTCACCCATCCCCCAAATTCCCCGTTCTCTCTCATCCCCCCCTTGACCCACCTGGCCAAGGAACCCTGTGGTGCCGCTGTCAATGAGTGGCACGCCAGCCGCAAGGCACATGCGGTTGACGTGGCGCCGTGCCGGGAGGTTGTCGAGGGCGTTGAGCACGAGGGAGAAGCGCGAGAAGAAGGACACGTCAAAGTCCGGCTGCAGCACACTGCCGTGGTGGGCTATGATAGAGGCGGACCGGCATAGCGCCATTGCTGCTTCTCGAGCGACCTGCAAGAATGAAGAGCACAGGAAGCAGAAGACGTCAAAGTCCGGCTGCAGCACACTGCCGTGATGGGCTATGATGGAGGCGGATGGACAGAGGGCCATCGCTGCTTCTCGAGCGACCTGGGAAGCAGGAGGACGAGCAGAGGGCAGGAAGAGGAGAGGAAGGAGAGTGGGGGAAGAAGGAGACGTCAAAGTCCGGCTGTAGCACGCTGCCGTGATGGGCTATGATGGAGGCAGATGGACACAGCGCCATCGCTGCTTCTCGAGCGACCTGCAAGCATGAAGAGAGGGGAATAGGGAATAGGAGGCGTCAATGTCTGGTTGCAGCACGCTGCCGTGGTGGGCTATGATGGAGGCGGATGGACACAGGACCATTGCTGCTTCTCGAGCCATCTGGGGAGCTGACAGGTGGGGGGTTGAGGGGATGGGAATAGAGGAGGGGGGGTGAGGAGACGTCAAACCACAGTAACATAACCACCGTAGTGGCACGTCATGTCATGAATAGAAGCATACACACCACATGCTTATGTCAATGTACGGGGCGCTACTACTCTATGCTATGTCACACCATGTCAAGCAACCATTGACCAGTCTCACCACCTTCCACATCTCCCCAGCACTCTTCGTGACTCTTTACCGCCTGCTGGCCCCACCTCTTTTCATAATTCCTGATAACTGTTGTGCTAATCCCCACCACGCTTTCTGAAAAGCCTCAATAGTCTTCCCTGGTAACTGCTATTTTTATTAAATGCCTCCTTTAACCCGTCGTGCAGCCGCCAGCCCTGGGCCCTTGGAAGCTGTACCTTGGCCTTGGATTGCCCCACATGTCGCTTGCGGAAGAGAAACTGACGGTTCAGATTGCTCACGTCAATGGTGTCTAGGTCAATCTGACAGTTGAGAAGGCACGCAGGAAGGGGTAGGGACAACGACGAGCAGTGGGGTAACAACCAGCAGGGTTGGGCGTGAGAAGGTTATGGGCTAACAGGAAGGAGAACGGGAAAGCTGCAGAGTGATATGAAGAGTTCATGTATTACTAATTTGTGACAAAGAACAGATACACCAAAGGTAGGCGAGTGATAAAAATATACAAAAACGAAAGAAAGAAAGAAAGAAAGAAAGAAAGAAAGAAAGAAAGAAAGAAAGAAAGAAAGAAAGAAAGAAAGAAAGAAAGAAAGAAAGAAAGAAAGAAAGAAAGAACAAAACAAAACAATCGCAACGAAGCAAAACAAAACAAATAAGACAGAACAGAGGCACGAACCAGTTCGATGTCATGGAAGCCAGTCATGACAAGGGTCTTGAGCAACTCGCATCCAATTCCCCCTGCTCCCACCATAAACACCTTCGCCTTCTGCTCTCACACAAACATACATGTGAGAATGGAAAGGATTGTAAGTCAAATCATAAAACGCCTCCTTACAATGCATACGCTGCTTCATCCTCTGCTGTTTAACGCATACTTTCTCACATCAAGCACTAAGGACGGAGGCACATGGGTGAAGTTGACTAGTTTAGGAAAAACGGGTGCTCGTTCCCCATCAGAGCGGCGGAGTAGAGCGTGCCTTGACTCGAAGGAAAGTACGATCAATTATAAAAGCAATGAGTAGAGCAGAGAGGACACCAGCAGCCTCACAAGGCAGGAAAGAAACGAGGGCCCGGATGGTGGTGAGCGGGAGAGAGGGGAGAGAGGAGACGAGAGAGGCGAGAGGGGAGAGAGGAGACGAAAGGGGGGAGAGGGAAGCAGGGAGAGAGGAGACGAGACGGCGGCAGAAAAATCGCGGTCGTGACAGACTAAGAAATCGACCTGCGTCTTGTAGATCATGGGTGGCTTTTGCGATCGCACAGCCTGACAAGGTAATGCATAACCCACTCGCATACATGCAGTATCAGATCGCACGCATGACCGTTTGTACTGTGGGAAACGGCGGATGCGGGACAGTGTTGAGTCTACACTGAATCCGTCCTAGGAAACCAATGGGGAGGCTTTAAATGAAGAATCAGTGCCATTATAACGGCGTTCGTCAGCAATCGTTCCCGCCGATCTAACCATCCGCTTCTGTTCTGAAAAATCTAGGTACAAACCAACTGCGGCAACCAAAGCGGTAACCTGGTTCAAACAAAGAGAGCCGAACGAGAGAACCGGGAGGACAGAACATAGCCGAGAGAACCGAGAGGTCACAGCCGGGTGAACGCTGGACGTATGCAACCGAAAGAAGAAGATCGGCATTGAGAGAACCGAGAGGACATAACATTCTACCTGAATCGCCAACTTTTCCTCCGCTGTTGTCGCCATCCCCCTTGCTTTCTCTTCGTCAAACCTTTGCGGTCTGGCCGTACCGTCGGCGTGAAAGTTAGAATGCGTGGCGCCTCGTCGCCACAACCGGATGGAGCACTGTTTGCTTTGTGTAGTGTTGTTTTGAATCCAGTACCAAATTTGGTCAACCAGGAAGTGTTCGTTGTTGAGAAATTCAATCGGCGACCACCCATTCCAGATCTTCGTTGTTGAGAACATTTTTGGTTCACGCTGGAATATATCAGTTTCCATAGTTCCCCACATGTAGATGAACAGGGCCCTTATGTTGATGTTATATATCTTTCACACCTTCTTGGCATGTCACCATTTATTAGGGCATGGAAAGCTCTGCCAAATTGATCAACCAACGGATTTTTTTTTTGGGTCGATTTTTCTTTCTTTTTTTCACATTATTGCTGTTATATACATGTTTATGTACTTATTGAATGTTACGAGTATCCTATGTGCAGAATCCACAAGCAAGGTTAGAAAATGAAGGAACTTGAATTGGAGAACTGGTTAATAATTTAATATCATGGGAAATAGAAGCAATATTTTCTAATGATTTGATAACAGTCCTCTTGATGAGTTTTGGACTGTGTGTTACTTGCGAACGGAGTGGCGAGATGTTACACATGCTGACGCGAATTGGGTGTCGATTGACTGACACAAGCCAACCGCTTTCATGTGCCGAACAGGGCTCTCCGACGGCGCGATGACACTCAAATCCCATAGCCGGCGAGAGGGAACATCTTCACCTCTACGCTCACTGATGATTGAAATGCATGGTGGTCTCTTTCTCTAATCACTCTCCAAGTTGGTCGCTCCCAGAGTAACAAGCGTTGCATCATGGCGAAGATGTTTGCCAAAGCAAAGAAGGCCTCAATGAAGAAGCTGAAGAAAATTCGCGATCTTGCTCGCATGGCTGTCAAGCCTGAAAATCCAGAAGAGAGACGGATGAAGTAAGACAGTATAGTTTGTCCTTCAAAAGTGATTTCACGACTAATGACCCAACGACTTCCGCAGGCTGAAAAGGCGAACCATGCTTGTTCTTCTCAACTTGGCTCTTTTATCGTTCAGCATTGCGCTGATTTGTGCCGGGGTTCAAGGCAGACGGAACATGAAGAGTGTGCTGGATCACAACAGTGACTCGGGACAGAACAACACTAGCAGCGTCGTCACAGAAGCCCAACCTAGCAGGTTTCTATCGTCACGCAAGAACAAACGTTTGATTTGACAATATGCTTATCTGTTGACTCTATGCTCTTCTGCAGTGTCAATGACGTGGATGAGAATAATGCGTCTAGCCGTTTGGAGTCCGCCCGGACGGATTTAGGAGCATGGATGCTTGGCGATCCATTCATTTCTCTGGTAAGTCTGAGTTCGTAACATCAATTGCTGACGTTCTTCTTTACAAAAGCATGCGAGCCATGACATGACGAGTGCAGATAGTTATCGGTTCCCTCCTTATTGCGATTAGTGTTACTGGCGTTGTTGGAGCTGTTACTACAAATCCTCAAGTTCTATTCGGGTAAGGCTTGGCGTTGTTTGACCTGGTACTGCAATTCTTACCAAGCACCCAAGCTAGAACCCTCCTTCCTTCTGCAGGTACTATGCTCCCTCATTTGTCATGGTAGCGATTTTGATATATCTTGGTTGCTTCTGCTTCATCTTCGCAGCTGACGAGGTACGTTTGATCCATGGCGCTGGTGTTGCTGAGCCTCCATATGGACTTCCCCCTAACCCTGTTCTTGGTGTTGGACTTTCGCAGAGGATGTATTCCGAGATACTGGAAACATACGTCAGCACAACAGCGCAATCAGCAGTGGACCAAATGTTGCTCGCAAAGGTATACGGCTTCTTAATTATTGTTCTCTTTATCTTGTACTATGTTGAGGGAATGCGTGACTTTCGTGAATACGCCTTGCAGACACACCGAGCTTTGATTGAAGGAGGCGTACTCTCAGTTTTGTCCGCCGTCTTGCTCGTCCTTGGCCTCTGGATTTCATCAACGTTGATGGGACATGGTGGGTGCATGCTTTCTTATTGTGTTTAATTTTTGGTCCGGCTTCTTCTAACTATGTGGGTTGATTCTTTTCCCCTTTTCAGAATATGCTGCAAAACAGATGGCGATGAGCATGAACATTCTCACCATGGTGTTTGGAGCATTTATTCTGTATCTATCCATTGTTACATCCCAAGCCCACATTGCGTAAGTTTCTGGCTGAAGTACCTCTGCGGTTGTGTAGCAAGTAAGTCATGCTAAACAATGACGTCCCGTCCAATGCAGGGGAGCCTATGCTGCCATTATTGTAGCTATCGTGGGCGCCTTCACTGTTCTACTTTCCGTTGTTGGTTATTTCGGCCTGGCAAACAACAGCAGGTTCCTGCTTGTCTTGCACTCGTTCCTTCTTGCAGTGAGTAAATCCAGTTACGTTTTTTAAGCCATCACAATTCCGTGGCTGACTTTTCTCTCGTTTGGTTCAGGTTCTGTGTCTTCTGCTTTTCATTGGAACAATATTATGCTTTGTTCTGCAATCCCAAGCGGATGCATACATTCAGTCTCACTGGGATCTGGTTACAACGAAGGTATATATGAATTAAATGCTGCACTAGACCTACTTCATGTTTTGTGCTGTTCACTAATCAGTGTGTAATTATTCGTTTTGTAGGTGGCGCACATTAGCAAGGAAGAAGCATACGCCATTGTTGGCAACCATATGGTGCTGGTTGGGGTACGTTTCTTACCATCATGGCTAGTTGAGATACTTGTCGTTTCAATTTTACACCGTCTCTTCCTCCATCGCAGGTGGCTGCCATTATATTGTCAGTTTGTCTCCTCTACAACCTGTTTGCATCAATTCTGACACTTTACAGCAATTGGAACAAATGGGGCATGAAGGTGAGCCTGTCAACACTGTCAAATGCATGGCTGTATCTGCCAGGGTTGAATACTTTGCATAGCTATCAGCTGTTTCTGTGGCTATCGGCAGGTGAACAGTTTGGAAGCTGACGAGTCTGCATTGCAAAGTTTTGTTTACATGCGTCGTCGTTCAAGCAGTCAAAGTTCTGGTGGAAAGCGGCACCGTGCCAAGCCTAAAAAGCAACAGAAAAAGCGCCGAGAGTCTTCTGAAGAAGATGAAGATGACAGTGATTTTATTGAAGTCCATCTTTCAGAAGATGAAGACGAGGAAGGCAATAGCAGTGTTGTGGAATCTTCAAGTGATAGTGATGCTGATTCAGAGGCTACAAACAGGAGGAAGGAGTCCAAGCGGAGTCGAAAGCAGCAGAAGCAGACCGGCAAGAAGAGCTCAAAGAGGACAAAGGATGACCAAGATGGGAAACGGCAGAGGACACGTAGAGGACAACGGAAGGGGAAACAGGTTACCGAGACAGACCTTCCAGCAGCTGTGCCCACACAACAGCGTGATGCAGAGAACAGTGCATCGGAATTATCACATTCTGATCTTGAAGCGTCCTACAAGCCCAAACCTGCTGTTTCGAAATGGGCGGCTGCTGTGAAGCCAGAAACTACACCTGCTTCAGAGAAGGCGAACCCCAAGACCCCTACCAAGGGCACTGCCAAGAACAATGATGCAGAGCGTCATCCAGGTATAATGGCTCATATTGAAATGATTTGGAGGTGGATAACTTGGCATCCTGCTTCGCAGTCTCCTTCAACCCCCCCACTCTCTTCAGGTGGCACAGTCAAGAAGACAGAGAAGGTTCTTGAACCAGAAGATACGCAGAGGAGGACGAGCAATTACTTTGAAGAGAGTGATTAGTTTCACATTTATTACCCCTCTCGGTATGTAGCAAGCTGGTGGTTTATCAAGACCTGTGAACTCACTGGACCGGCATGCATCCTGTTCTGGATTAAGAGTATGTGTGATCTTGTGTACGGATCTGTAGTATACGTTCAAATAAAGCATAATCCCTTCACGTTGCTTATGAAACTTACGATAGGCCTCCACAATTGAATATCCTATTTGAGCTCCCTCGAGTGGATCTGCACCTGGAAATTCCTTTCTACGAAATTGCTCTAGGCTTGAGCATATTCTCGGCTTGATTCATCAGAATCACATGCCAGACATTTTCTGGCCATCCTCGACCGAGAATTCTCGTTGCTAACCTATCCTGTTTCAGCCATGCCGCCTCAGGGCCGGCTTTTAATCTCATCTCTTCGTCGCGCTAGTTTCCTTCGCCATGACCATAGACTCGCTCTTGGCTTGGAAGCATGCCGCCACACCGTTTTCACTGCGCAGGCCGCACGGTCCCTAGCAGGGGCGGCCGCTACTGGCAGTTCAGCGTCTCCGCCGAGTCTGGTTCCACCTTTCACGCATGAAACGGCTCTTGCTAAAGTCAAGGTTCGTTCGACCCTTGCGATACCCTGCGAATCTACGGCCGTTCATCTCTCCTCCCTCTCTTGTCTTCCGCCCGTAGTTCCGACTTCCTCTCTTCTTCGTGCACATTTCGGTCCCCAATTCCCCGTCCCCCCCGCTTCGACTCGATCCCCGTTATTCCACATTCAACCTACCTCCTTCCCCGCAGTTTGCGGAAGCAGCATGGAACAGCCGCAACCCGGAGCGCGTGGCGCTGGCCTACACGCCCGATTCGCAGTGGCGCAACCGCTGCGAGTTCTTCAGCGGACGAGAGGAGATCAAAGCGTTTCTCCGGCGCAAGTGGAGCAAGGAGCTGGACTACCGTCTCATGAAAGAACTATGGTGGGGCAGGGAGGGGTAATGAGAAGATAGAAGGGGGTGTTGTGGTGGGAAAGAGGGGGAGTGTCATACTGGGAGCTGTAGGTAACGGAAAAGAGTAGCTCAAAACCGGGGTCTCAAGTGGGGAAAGTCAGGGGATAATGACACAATGAAATAAAGGAAAGAGGGTGGGGAAGACAGGACGGAGGGGAAGGGATGGAGCCAGCCCCATCTATTCTCCTTTATAGCCCATTCCTGAAATTCTTAATTTTTACACTGGTAGTTGCACAAGATCGTTGTAGCTAACCTTTACACTAACAACCAACCATACGCACTTGCTCCCTTTCGGCCGTTTGCTTCTTCCCTGACAATCCTTTTGCAGGTGTTTCACTGATAACCGCATTGCAGTGCGATTCGAATATGAGTGGCACGACACCACCGGGCAGTGGTGGCGCACGCACGGAAACGAGGTGAAGGACTGGGGTGGATGGATGGATGTGTTGGTGGATGGGTGGGAGGGAATGAAATGAGGGCGTGGGTGGGTGGGAGGGAGTGAAATGAGGGCCTGGTTGCTGGATAGGTTCTTCGGTGTTGTTTCCTCACATGCCGTACTAATATTCGCCCTGTGTGTGCGGGTATGTGCATGCATGTGCGGTTATCCATGCATGCGTTTGTGGGATGTGTGCATGAGTACCGTATCTGTGGTCTTGCTACTACAGCTATGGGAGTTCACTGACGAGGGCTTGATGCAACGCAGAGACATGTCTGCCAATGGTAAGATTTTCCTGCATGATTCACACTCCATTCTGTTTCCATATCACCGTGCCGTGTGTGTGCCTTTTTCCCCCGTAACACATCCGTCTTGCTAATTTCAGACTACCAGATTGAGGAGAAGGACAGGCGTTATCGTTTTGAAAGGTAGTAGACAGTTGCTGGTGCTCAAGAACTGGGCGTTGACATTTTGAAGGCCATGTTGTACATGCAGCGTGTGTGGCGTTGTGGCCCCATATGCCTCATGTCATGAGCATCAGAAAATTTACGCATTACTACTGAGTTGTTCAGGAACTAAAAGCATCATGGTACTTATTTTATTGCCAATATCTACAAGAACCAATCAAAGATGGTGGCCGTATTGCCAACAAGGGGTCATGATGAATGACCCTCTGAGCATAAACAAGCACCTTATTAGCCACTGGTTCCTTGGCTGCTTGGTGATACCAATCTCCACGTCTCGTCATCCTCACTCCAGTGCACTCCATCCAACATCCAGGTCGTCCACGCTTGGGAAGCTTCCCACCATGTCATCCAGATAATCGTCACCATCCAGCAGAGACAGAGACGGAAGCTTGCCTGCAACATGCAAAAAACGAGGAGGTTAGCGTTGACACAACCACCCTGGAACCGATTGAGCCTATGGAACTCACACTTTTTGCACAGACTGTGATCACGTGACCTACCTCCAGGAGGTGATGGCATGGGGGGATCATCCATAAGGGGTATCATGTCTGGATCCTGCCGATTAGAAACGGAGTCATGGGTCAGTTCATATGGATTTTGGTTCACGTACGCGTTTCTTTCTTACTATAAACAAGTAAACAAGATAAACAAGATCGAGGTAAGATATGTACCTTTTGTTGCTTCGAGATGCCATAAAGGCATGGAGGTTCCACGCGGATGGACCGAATCATGTCAACGCGCTGACGAATTTCTGCAAGACAGCAAGAACATCCCCGTTAGTCGAAGTGAAAATGTGAGCGTCCAAAATATCATGCGAGCCACGCGCACACTTACCTTCATCAGCCTGAGCCTTAATGGCTGCCTCGTAGCTATCACCATCCATCGGCATCCTCTCCACCCCATCAGCTGCATAGAGCTCCGCCAGTGCGTCAATGTCGTTCAGCGCGATCAGCTCCTTCTCCGTCTTTCCCTTTTTGTCCTTCTCAATCGCGAGATCCTGAATTGCTGAGCTAATCTTCTCGACTTGCTTGAAGGGCAGCGGCATTATGACATCAGGGACTCCGTTGGCCTGCGTGTTCTGACCTCCCTTCAGATCCGACCCGGACAATTCCTTCTCCTCTTCCAGCTTAAGTCGACGGGTAATGGACGGTTGAGCCTTCTGGGTGGTCTTGGCCTTCTGGGTGGTGTTAGCATTCAGGTTGCTCGAAATCGGCTTCTGGATGGTGTTCGTCAGGGCATCTCCGAATCTGCGCTTGGCAGCAGGCTTCATCTGAGTCGCCGGATCGTTCTCGTTGGTGACGTCCCGCAGAGCTGACCTGCTTCCCTTAACCGTGGTTAGAGGAGCAACGAAAATCTTGGATACTGGCGTGCTCGGAACAACGCGGTGGGAGTTGACGTTGTTCCGCAGCTCTGTGCCGAAGGCACGGACGGAACTCCCAGGAGCAACCATGCGATCCTTTGCGCCGACTCCAAATCCTGAGAACAAACATCCGGACGTTAGATTCACGACGTTAAATTGAAGACAATCTGTTCCGAAAAAATGATACGTTAGACGCTAAGGTGTCTCATGGCCGTAAGAACACCGGAGACAGAAAAAGAAAGGAGAAAACTCACCCCCAGCAGGACGAGGCGTCCTCTCAACAGCAGCTCCCTTGTTCCTAGCGCCATGGTATGGAGTCCAAGCATTCTCATCTCCAATGATGTTTTCTCTTTGAACTGTCCTCATTGCAGCCATCGGTTACAGGAACGATGGGCTCAGGAACTCCTGCAAGACCCGCTGGATCCTAGATGCTTGAACGGCGGTGAACGTCTGATACGTTATGAAATGAGATTGTGTGTGGCGGTGCGTGGTAGCCTGACTATGATTGTTTTACGCGAACTAAGGTCTGCTTGACTGGTTGCACTGAAATAGAGCAAGAAATGCCTTTGAGAAACCAACCGTGTGCGGGCTCTAAGGCTGTCTGCCTTGACCGGATCGATCGTCGCTAGCTTGCCTGAAAGATCAAAACCAAGATGAGCAAGTTGCCAGAGCATAGAAACAAAGGTTTTCTGTCTTCTGGTTGATCGCCTGAAAGATCTGCTTGGCTGAGGCGAGGGAGTGAGGGTGGCGGCTGGGATGGCTGCCACGAGAGGGAAAAAGGCGAGGATGGAATGGCGAAAATGAACCAAGGGTTTCGGTTCAGGAGGAGGTGTCAGGTGGACAGGGGCAACCTGACGGCGTCACGCTGGGGATGCGCACCGGGGTTTTGAAAAAGAGGCGGGAAAAGTCAAACGGAAACAAGTCCGGCTGTTCTCGCTGTTGCAATTTACACTGATTCACATGTTTGAAGCCAGCATTCTAATTTGACTGATTATAATCAATTCGCTGGTAAGTCAATGTTGATACCGTTTTTAAACGTAGCAGAATAAATGAAGGATTTTGATACTAAAAATACAAAAGAATATTACGTTATGGAATTTCAGAGGTTCTTTACATCTGAATTTCACATTCAAATTTTACGACACAAAGTACACAAATGTAAAAAATTTATGTATTGTAAAGGGTCCGCTGGTATATAATGGGACAAGGTTCACCATTTTGAATCCATTCACAAATCTCCCCCCACGCCTCTTCACCCGCAGCAAGCTTCGATCTTCTATTTCCTGACTGAACGATCCGCTTTCCTTCGCTTCGTCGCCCGTCGCTGTTTCTCTTTCGCGTTTCTTCTATTCCCGTGGTCTCTTTAGGTCCGTGTCAGCATGCCATCGCCAGCGCCTAGCGCGGGCCCCACGTCCGTCCCCGTTGGTGACGCCTACAGACGGCAACGCGCTACAGCAGAGTACAGCTGTCAGGTGTGTGTCTCTCGTATCATCACCCGCCACGTCTCTTCGCAGCCTGTTAGTGTTTTTATAGGGTTTGTTTCTACATTCTGCTTTCGCGGCTAAGAGTTCTCCCGGTGTGTGTGCGTGTCTGCGTTTGTGCGGTGTGTACGTACGCAGGACGACGCCCCCTTTATAATCACGCAGCACCGCTACCGCAGCCAGCAGTTCGCGTCGCTCTACTTCTCCCGCCTCGCCACGCTGCGACCCATCCTCCTCGCAGCAGCGCGCCAGAAATGGCCCCACCTGCCAGGTGCGCTGCGATCAGCCTGCCGCCTTCCTGCCACGTGGCTGATGGGCACGTGTGCTTGCTCTCTCTTCTCGTTCCCTTTCACTGTGAGATGTCAACCCTAACATGTGACTTATTTCTCTCAAAATCCCATTCGTTCCCAGACGTTTGAGGCATGGCCCCTGACATGTGTGTTTCTTGCCCTCTCCTCTCTCCTCCTACTCTCCTCTTCTGCTCCTCCCATCCGCCTTCCCTCCTTATGTGTCTTGGGGGTTGTGTGTTGCGTTGCACTGTGTGCAATGGAGTCACACCAATGCAATCACACCACGTGGCACCACACCACGTGCACTCACACCACGTGCACTCACACCACGTGCAATCATACCACGTGCAACCACACGCCGTGCAGTGAGCAGTGTGTTGGACTTAGCGGACAAGGGTGAGTGCGTGGTGGTGGGCACACTCTACAAGCACATGAAACTCAAGCCAAGCATACTGCAAGACTACGGTCGAGAGGTCAGTCGGGCAGTAGTCAGTCAGTCAGTCAGTCAGTCAGTCAGTCAGTCAGTCAGTCAGTCAGTCAGTCAGTCAGTCAGTCAGTCAGTCAGTCAGTCAGTCAGTCAGTCAGTCAGTCAGTCAGTCAGTCAGTCAGTCAGTCAGTCAGAGCTTGGAGGCAAGGGGTCAGTCACTCACTTTCCAGTGCGCACCAATCAAAGCTCAAGCCCAGCATACTGCAAGACTATGGTCGAGAGGTCAGTCAGTCAGTCAGAGTTTTGGGGCGGGAGGTCAGTCATTCACGGAACCGTGCCGTTACTCCCTCTTGCGTACCCTGCCCCCCCCACTTCTGCTGTTCCACTATCCACGAATCGCTTGACATTTTATCCTTTTCCTCGCCTTTCCACTTTTTCCCGTCTCTATTCGTTTCCTCTCTCGCATGCCCTTTCTTTTCTCTAAAATCTACCCCTCTCTCTTCCCTCCACCTCTCCCTCCCTCATCCAAAGTTAAAAAATACGACCGATTTTTTGAAAATTTACCGTAATATACGGTATCATATTTTACAGTCGTATTAAACGGTAAAATACGGTCAGACCTTGCATTTTTAGGTTCGTTCAAAAATACGGTCGTTTTTTACGGCCAAAATTTTGAAACCGAGATTTATGAAAGCATTCCTAGACATTGGTTATGGCCGTCGCGTTCACATAATACTTGGGCAGGTTTCGAGTTTCGGTGGGGCTCAGGAACATCCCCACGGAAGCTCTGACAGTTTCCGTGGCCATCCGTAAGGGCATGGAAGATCCTTACAAACATGTAAGGGGAGTTGGGTCTTGTAGATCTAGGGTTGGGTTGAGGCCAATGTCGAGATTTGTGAAAGTGTAAAGGGGGTTGGGTCTTGTAGATCCAGAGCGGTGACAAGTGGTAACTGGCGACAAATTGGTTGGGACATTTAGTTCCAACAATTTTGACGGGGAGAAAGGCACTTCCTGGCGAGATCCAATCGACTAGCAGATCGGCGGGCGAAATTGCCGATCCGCGCAGATCGGCAGTCGAAATCGCCGCACAAGCGGGGCCACTTATAATAGTCTGAGTTTTTGTGGGAGAGCAACTTTTTAGGCCTGATAGTTAGCAATTTTCCTGATGTTCGCATCCCTTGAGGTGGATGGTACCAAGTCTGGAAAAAATTCTCCAACAAAAAAACGGCCGAATTTTTTGAAAATTGGCCGTAAAATACGACCATAAAAAACGGCCCGTATAATACGACAACCGTATTTTTTATCCTTGCCCTCATCTCCTCCCTCTTCCCCTCTCTTTCTCTCCCTCCCTCTACCCCTCTCTTCCTCTCCTCCCCGCGTCTCTCCCTCCCCTTCCCCATTCCCCCTCCGCCCCTTCCCCCCTTTTGCGCCCCTAACAGCGCTCCAGTGCACCGCTGGTGGCGGTGGGGGGCGGCAGCATGGTTGGGGAGGATGACAGTGTGGTACTGGAGGATGAAAGGGGGCGCGTCAAGCTCGTTGGGGACGCCTTTGTGCCCGCTGCATGGGTCACAGGTACTCTGGATGGTGCAGTACGATGGAATGTGGTGCTGTTGGGTGGTCGCTGCATGGGTCACAGGTACTCTGGATGGTGCAGTACGATGGAATGTGGTGCTGTTGGGTGGTCGCTGCATGGGTCACAGGTACTCTGGATGGTGCAGTACGATGGAATGTGGTGCTGTTGGGTGGTCGCTGCATGGGTCACAGGTACTCTGGATGGTGCAGTACGATGGAATGTGGTGCTGTTGGGTGGTCGTTGCATGGGTCACAGGTACTCTGGATGGTGCAGTACGATGGAATGTGGTGCTGTTGGGTGGTCGCTGCATGGGTCACAGGTACTCTGGATGGTGCAGTACGATGGAATGTGGTGCTGTTGGGTGGTCGCTGCATGGGTCACAGGTACTCTGGATGGTGCAGTACGATGGAATGTGGTGCTGTTGGGTGGTCGCTGCATGGGTCACAGGTACTCTGGATGGTGCAGTACGATGGAATGTGGTGCTGTTGGGTGGTCGCTGCATGGGTCACAGGTACTCTGGATGGTGCAGTACGATGGAATGTGGTGCTGTTGGGTGGTCGCTGCATGGGTCACAGGTACTCTGGATGGTGCAGTACGATGGAATGTGGTGCTGTTGGGTGGTCGCTGCATGGGTCACAGGTACTCTGGATGGTGCAGTACGATGGAATGTGGTGCTGTTGGGTGGTCGCTGCATGGGTCACAGGTACTCTGGATGGTGCAGTACGATGGAATGTGGTGCTGTTGGGTGGTCGCTGCATGGGTCACAGGTACTCTGGATGGTGCAGTACGATGGAATGTGGTGCTGTTGGGTGGTCGCTGCATGGGTCACAGGTACTCTGGATGGTGCAGTACGATGGAATGTGGTGCTGTTGGGTGGTCGCTGCATGGGTCACAGGTACTCTGGATGGTGCAGTCCGATGGAATGTGGTGCTGTTGGGTGGTCGCTGCATGGGTCACAGGTACTCTGGATGGTGCAGTACGATGGAATGTGGTGCTGTTGGGTGGTCGCTGCATGGGTCACAGGTACTCTGGATGGTGCAGTACGATGGAATGTGGTGCTGTTGGGTGGTCGCTGCATGGGTCACAGGTACTCTGGATGGTGCAGTACGATGGAATGTGGTGCTGTTGGGTGGTCGCTGCATGGGTCACAGGTACTCTGGATGGTGCAGTTCGATGGAATGTGGTGCTGTTGGGTGGTCGCTGCATGGGTCACAGGTACTCTGGATGGTGCAGTACGATGGAATGTGGTGCTGTTGGGTGGTCGCTGCATGGGTCACAGGTACTCTGGATGGTGCAGTACGATGGAATGTGGTGCTGTTGGGTGGTCGCTGCATGGGTCACAGGTACTCTGGATGGTGCAGTACGATGGAATGTGGTGCTGTTGGGTGGTCGCTGCATGGGTCACAGGTACTCTGGATGGTGCAGTACGATGGAATGTGGTGCTGTTGGGTGGTCGCTGCATGGGTCACAGGTACTCTGGATGGTGCAGTACGATGGAATGTGGTGCTGTTGGGTGGTCGCTGCATGGGTCACAGGTACTCTGGATGGTGCAGTACGATGGAATGTGGTGCTGTTGGGTGGTCGTTGCATGGGTCACAGGTACTCTGGATGGTGCAGTACGATGGAATGTGGTGCTGTTGGGTGGTCGCTGCATGGGTCACAGGTACTCTGGATGGTGCAGTACGATGGAATGTGGTGCTGTTGGGTGGTCGCTGCATGGGTCACAGGTACTCTGGATGGTGCAGTACGATGGAATGTGGTGCTGTTGGGTGGTCGCTGCATGGGTCACAGGTACTCTGGATGGTGCAGTACGATGGAATGTGGTGCTGTTGGGTGGTCGCTGCATGGGTCACAGGTACTCTGGATGGTGCAGTACGATGGAATGTGGTGCTGTTGGGTGGTCGCTGCATGGGTCACAGGTACTCTGGATGGTGCAGTACGATGGAATGTGGTGCTGTTGGGTGGTCGCTGCATGGGTCACAGGTACTCTGGATGGTGCAGTACGATGGAATGTGGTGCTGTTGGGTGGTCGCTGCATGGGTCACAGGTACTCTGGATGGTGCAGTTCGATGGAATGTGGTGCTGTTGGGTGGTCGCTGCATGGGTCACAGGTACTCTGGATGGTGCAGTACGATGGAATGTGGTGCTGTTGGGTGGTCGCTGCATGGGTCACAGGTACTCTGGATGGTGCAGTACGATGGAATGTGGTGCTGTTGGGTGGTCGCTGCATGGGTCACAGGTACTCTGGATGGTGCAGTACGATGGAATGTGGTGCTGTTGGGTGGTCGCTGCATGGGTCACAGGTACTCTGGATGGTGCAGTACGATGGAATGTGGTGCTGTTGGGTGGTCGCTGCATGGGTCACAGGTACTCTGGATGGTGCGGTACGATGGAATGTGGTGCTGTTGGGTGGTCGCTGCATGGGTCACAGGTACTCTGGATGGTGCAGTACGATGGAATGTGGTGCTGTTGGGTGGTCGCTGCATGGGTCACAGGTGCCACTGATGCCGTGCTGCTGTGGGTGGTGCCATGAGTGGTGCCGTGGGGTTGGGGGTGGTGCTGTGCGGTGGGTGTTGGTGTTGTTGGGCGTGGGGTGGTGTTTGGCGTTTGGTGTTGTTGCTATATATCCCTCCGTCCCTCCGTCCCTCCGTCCATCCATCCATCTATCACATCACACCAGTGTTGTTTGCCTCTCCCCTCTCCCACAGTCCCACCTCTCTCCCCTCTCCCCTCTCTCTCCTCTCTCCCCTCTCCCCTCTCCCCTCTCTCCCCTCTCCCCTCTCTCCCCTCTCCCCTCTCTCCCCTCTATCCCTCTCTCTCCACTCTCCCCTCTCCCACCGCAACATCAACAGGTGTGGTGGTGGCGGTGCGGGGCTGTGAGGACAGCAAGGGGAACTTCCGAGCAATAGAGGTGCTGGAGCCAGGCATGCCGCTGCAGGACCCCTTCCCTGCTGCTGCTGCCGCCAGTGCCAACACGGGCGCTGCAGCCAACCAGGGTAAGACACGTGGCATCGCACTGCACTGTACAAGAGACAGTGGTGAAAAATATCGGGGAAAAGAACAAACGCCCTCTTTTCCCCTTCGCCACCTCCTCTCCCTCCTCTCTTCCCTCTGCACTCCCTTCCTCTCTCCCCTACGCACTCCCCTCCTCCCTCCACTCCACATCCTCCCTCCTCCTCTCTCCTCTCCCCTCATTGCTTACTGTACAGCCCTCTTCTCTGTGTGAGGTGCTTCCTTCTTCCCCACCTCTTCCTTCCTCACCCGCCCTCTCACCTTCTCTCTGCTTCACCCAACTCTTTTCCTTACCTCCCTTTCTCCCCCTCTCACCGCACTTCCTCCCTCCCCCCTCCCCATTCACCCCTCCCCCCATCCTCCCCTTGCCAGCATCCCCTCCTCCCCCGCGCTACGTGGCCTTCGTATCAGGCCTCCACCTCTCCGTACCCACCACCACCGCATCAGGCGCCCCCTCGCCCTCCCCCCCGCCCGCTGCCACACCACCATCGTCCCAGGGGCGGGGTGCAGAGGGAGCAGAGGCGGGGGGCGGAGGAGACGCCATGCTGCATGAGGAGATGCTGCTGGACTTGCTGTCAGGGCATGTTCACTCGGAAGAGGTGAGAGGGGAGGGAAATTGAGGGAGTGGGGTGGGGAGGGCGGGGAGGGGAAGGGTAGGGGGAGCGGGGAGTGGTTCCTGTGAGGTGGGTTTACCCTTGGCTTGTTGCGCATGTCTCTGCAGCACGCCATGCTGCTGGACTTGTTGTCAGGCCACGTGCATTCGGATGAGGTGAGAGGGGAGGGAGAGGTGTGAGATATAGGGGGGAGTTGGCGGTGGTAAAGGTATAGTTGGCACCTTATGCTGCATGAGGAGATGCTGCTGGACTTGCTGTCAGGCCACGTGCACTCAGATGAGGTCGGGGGGGGGGGGATGAAAGGGGGTCCGAGGGGAGGAAGGGGTATGAGATGTGGTCTAAAAGGGGGATGGAGGCGCCATGCTGCATGAGGAACTGCTGCTGGACGTGCTGTCAGGCCACGTGCACTCGGATGAGGTCAGTGGCTGGGGGCGCTGGGGCGGGGGAGGCGCTATGGTGCATGAGGAACTGCTGCTGGACGTGCTCCCATTCTCGCTTGCTCTTCCCCGCCATCCACGCCACTTCCTGTGTTGGTCCCTTATTTGTTTGTGTGTGTGTGTGTGTGTGTGTGTGTGTGTGTGTGTGTGTGTGTGTGTGTGTGTGCGCGCGTTTCCAGGAGGAGCGATTGAGTGCGGGGATAGTGCGCGTGGTGATTGCAGGGGACTCGTGCTCCTTCTCCCACCTCCCACAGTCCCTGCATGACACAGTCAACTCCACTGTGCGTGCTCACTCACTTTCTCACTCACACTCACACACTCTCACTCACAGTCCCTCTCCTCCCATCCGAACACTTTCTTATTCCCTTTCTCAATGTCACTTTAGCTTCAGTAACGCTCCCATTTACTCCTGTTCACCCACTCACTCACTCACACCCTCACTCACTCTCATGCATGGTATATTGCTTGCTCCCTGCTTCTCCACACTGTTCGTCATTTCACTTACTCCAAATTCACTCCCTTACTCATTCATCCACTCACTCACGCGCTCACTTACTTATGTCACACACACACCCGCAGACACCCTCACGCCTCAACCCATACCTCTATACCTTCGCTGCAATCCTGTCAAGTCACGCACATGCGCTCCATGTTTTATGCTCTAGAACTTCCTTCCTGCCTTCTACTTCCCACCCCCCACCCCTCACCTTTCCTCTCCGCGCATCCCCTCTCCCCTGCATGTCTTGCATTTGAAAAAAAAGGCCTTTTTCTTTGTGTTCTTCCAACCCTTTCCCCACCCCTGTCCCCACCTGTTCCCACTGCCCCCACCTATCCCATACACTCAGATTGAAACCCTACTGCCGCGTGTTTCTGCACCTGCTCCCACCAAACCACCCACCCCCCCTCACCCCCCTTCTCCTCCCCATTCCCGCCCCTCCAGTCGCTCATGCACCGTGATGCCAAGGCCATGGCAGCACCAGTCAAGGCTCTTGACACTTTCCTGTCTGAGGTTAGTTCCCCTGCTGCTGCCACTTGTGCTGCTGCCACTTGTTCTGCTGCCACTTGTGCTGCTGCCGCTTGTGCTGCTGCAATGCCTCTCCTTTTCCCCCGCTCCCTCCCCCTTCACTTCACTACTATTCCTGGTTCCACAGCCCTTTCCAACTCCCGCAACCCCACTCTTTCCGCCCATTCCTTCCCTTCCTTCCTTCTATCCCCAACCCCGTCCCAGCTCTCAGCGTCAGTGCCTGTGGACATTATTCCAGGCTCCTGTGACCCAGCCAACTACTCCCTGCCGCAACAGGTGGGTGAAGGGGCGAACGTGGAGGTGAAGGTTCCTGGGAAAGGTGCCTGGGAGTGAGTAGGAACAGCAGAGAAGCAAAGCAGCTCATTTGTGAGGAAAAGGGGTTTGTCTGGGTGGTGGCATAGAATGGGGTCGGAAAGCGGTTCGATTGAGCAGGGTGAGAGGGTTATGTGATTAGAGGCGTTTGAAGAGGGAGCCAGGGGGTTGTCAAGGTGTCGTGAGTTTCAGCAATGGCAGGCATATGTATCTGGCCATATCACAAGCCCACCACATCATGGCTCCCACCCCCTCTTTGTTTCCCTTTTTTCCCCGCTTTTTCCACTCCCTTCTCCTTAACCCTGCTTCCCCCCACCCACCCTCCTCCCCCCCTCTCCCCCCCGGGTCCCCCCGTCACTCCTCTCCCCAGCCGCTGCACCCGTGCCTGCTGCCCCGAGCCTCGCGCCGAGCCTCGGTGGTGCGTGCGACAAACCCGCACCATTTTACACTGGGGGGGGTGCGGTTTCTGGGCACAGCCGGGCAGAACATTCAAGACATGCGCCGTCTCTGCCTCACCCGCCTGCTCCACGCCCCTCCCCCTGCTGCTGTTCCTGTTGGTGGGGAGCAAGCAGGGCCTATGGAAGGAGTGGAAATGCAGGAAGGGGGGAAAGACGGGAGGGGGGATGACAGAGAGGAGAGGGGGGAGGATGAGAAGGAGGGGGAGGCGGGTGTGCTGGATCTGATGCAGCGATGCTTGGAGTGGAGACACGTTGCTCCCAGTGCTCCTGACACGCTTGGTGAGGGGAGAGACGGGAAGGGGGGAGAGGGAGGGAGAGAAGGGGAGGGGAGCGATGGGAAGGATGGGTAAGGGAAGGAGTTAGAAGGGAAGGAGGGAGAACGGAAGGTGAGAGAAGGGAAGGGTGAGAAAGGACGGAGAGAGAAGTGAAGGGTGAGAAGAAAAGGGAAGTGGCGAAGGAAAAGGAGAGCAGAGGAGGGGAGAGAAGGGAAGGGCAGAGGAGGGAAGGGGCAACCCCTCCCTTCTCACCACCTTCTCAATTTCCTTGTCTTGAACCATCGTTCTGACTGTGACTGCCCTGCCCTGCTCCCCTCAGGCCTGTACCCGTTCCAACTGCACAGTCCCTGTGTGCGAACCTTCTTTTGAGTCGACTCAAAAGCGTTCCAACTGCACGGTCCCCTTGTGCGCACCTCGTGCTCTATTGCCTGTGCTCCGCATCATCGTTCTCACCGCTCCTGCCTCTCTCTCTGCCTCTACCTGCCCTGCTGCCCTGTGCCCCTGCAGGCGTGTACCCGCTCCAGCTGGACGACCCCTTTGTGCTCACCACCTGCTCTATTGCCTGTGCTCTGCATAATTTGTTTTGATCGCGCCCGCCCCTCCCTGCCCCGCCCCTCCCTGCCCTGCCCTGCCCTGCCCTGCCCTGCCCTGCCCTGCCCTGCCCTGCCCTGCCCTGCCCTGCCCTGCCCTGCCCTGCCCTCCCTGCCCCACCTTGCGCCCTTCAGGCGTGTACCCGTTTCAGCTGGACGACCCCTTTGTGCTCACCACGTGCCCACACGTCTTCTTTGCCGGCAACCAGCCGCGATTCGCCACTCGCCTTATCCGAGGTAGGGTACGGGGCAGTCATACAATCACCACTTGCTGGCGCCGAAACACTAGCTCGTGAGGTGCGTCAAAACTTATGTCCGAATGCATGGGTCAGGTTGTTGTCTATGCATGGTTGCAGAGAATGACTTGCTCTTGAGGCGGTGCACACATACATGTGTGATGTATTGTATTCACGCACAGAATGGCTTACCATCGAGCAACTTGTCACTCATGCATCTCCTCTGTGTGCCCTGTGATGCATCGTCATCTGCTGTGCTCTGTGCAGGTCCCCAGAAGCAGGTGGTGCGGCTGGTTGCGATTCCTAAGTTCTCTGAGACATGTCAAGCTGTGCTGGTGGGTGTGCGTGCGTGCATGAGTGGGAGGGTGCGTGGGGGTGTGTGTGTGGCTGGGTGTGTCTGCACGCACGTGTGTGCATGTGCTGCGCATGCACAGGTGGTGCGGCTGGTTGCCATTCCTAAGTTCTCCGAGACATGTCAAGCTGTGCTGGTGGGTGTGTTTGTCTGCATGCGTGTGCGTGCGTGTGTGTGCAAGCGTGCATGCCTGTGTGTGTGTGTGTGTGTGTGTGTGTGTGTGTGTGTGTGTGTGTGTGTGTGTGTGTGTGTGTGTGTGGTGTGTGTGTGTGCGTGCGTGCGTGCATGAGTATGGTGCGTGTGTGTGCGTGTCTGTGGGTTTGTGTGGGTGCACGTGCGTGTGGGCGTGTGTGTGGTTGTGTGCGCGTGTGTGTGCCTGTGTGCGTGCATGGGTGTGGGTGGGAATGTGTGTGCCCGTGCGTGCGTTGCTGCTCATGGCTGTATGTGTGCGCTGTGACATGTGTGCTGTATCTTCCTCGCCTGTACGCTAGCACCTCTTGGTGCTCTAGCTCCATTTTTGAGTCGACTCAAAAGTGTACACTAGCACCTCTTGGTGCTCTAGTTCCATTCCTTTCTGACACTCTTCCATGTCCTGGTTACCTCTACTTCTCCCTCCACCTTGTGAGCGACTGTTGAGAATTCTAAAAAATCTTCATGCCGTGGTTACTTCATCTCTCTCTCTCCACTTTCCTGCATGTGGTATTTCCCATCGTCCTCACCATCCTCATTAGCCCTGTCCTTCCTCATCTGTCCTGTCCTTCCTCATCTGCCCTCTCCTTCCTCATCTGCCCTCTCCTTCCTCATCTGTCCTGTCCTTCCTCATCTGCCCTCATCTGCCCTGTCCTTCCTCATCTGCCCTCTCCTTCCTCATCTGCCCTGTCCTTCCTCATCTGCCCTCTCCTTCCTCATCTGCCCTCTCCTTCCTCATCTGCCCTCTCCTTCCTCATCTGCCCTGTCCTTCCTCATCTGCCCTGTCCTTCCTCATCTGTCCTGTCCTTCCTCATCTGTCCTGTCCTTCCTCATCTTCCCTCTCCTTCCTCATCTGCCCTCTCCTTCCTCATCTGCCCTGTCCTTCCTCTTCTGCCCTCTCCTTCCTCATCTGCCCTCTCCTTCCTCATCTGCCCTCTCCTTCCTCATCTGCCCTCTCCTTCCTCATCTGCCCTCTCCCTCCTCATCTGCCCTGTCCTTCCTCGTCTTCCTTACACAGGTGGACCTAGACTCATTGGAGTGCCGAGTCCTCTCTGTTGCCTGCCCTCCCTTCCCCTCCTCACCATCACGTTCCTCATAGTCCTCGCCCGCCCACCCACCCACCCACCCACCCACCCACCCACCCACCCACCCACCCACCCACCCACCCACCCACCCACCCACCCAACCCCACTGTATTGTCGTCTCCCATGTCACCTTTTCTCGTGTTGCATAGCAACATCGTAATACTGGTATCCTTGTTCTTGTTTCTCTACTACCAACGATCATTCAATTTGATAACTTTCCAGCGTCTCATTTTCATTACCCTTTTAAGATACCGTATCATGCGTGTTACAAGCAATCGACTGATGTCAAATTTGTAAAAAAATAAATCCATTCCTTACTGGGTTTACACAGCATGGTACCGTAAAGTGCCACCTATAGGACCCGGGGGACTCTCTACAAATGCTCTAAAAAGTGCTAGGGGGACCCTCTGGCGGTTGCAAATTTTTAAGACCCGGGGTACACTTATTTATCAACTATCATTCTGTTCTTTAGGGTGTACGGCTTAATTCGGGGCGGGGGGGTCTTATATTTGTAACGAAAAACATCATTCGTGCGCAGATTTCGCGCGAGCGGCGCGTCAGATCTGTGTCAGAATTCGAGTCTGACACAAACAAAGTGTCAGAATTCGAGTCTGACACAAAAAATCGTGTCAGAATTCAAGTTTCTGCCAATAAAAACTGACTCACAATAGCAATGTCAACTACTGTATACAGAAATGTCAAATGTTGTAGCCTATAGTGAGGTTTGTCTTAGGGGGTACAAAACTTAGGGTTAGCTATATGTACCCCAACCAACATCAATGCATCATCCATTCTTCATTTTGACATGGTATCAGTTAGGTTAGGATCCTGTGGGATCCCGTTCCGCCGTTCTCCGTTCGTACCACCCGAGCCTGATCCTAGCTCTCGTTCGTCTCCTTCTCGTTGTTACCGAGCCTAGCGCCGAGCCACGCTCTCGTTCGTAGCGTAGCCCGCCCCCCCCCCCCCCTTCGCGTCGCCTTCCCCCCCCCCTCGAGTCGCGCCCGTCCCTTTCCCCCTGTCGCGTCGCGCTCCCCCCGTCGCGTCGCGTCCGCGCCTTCCCCCCGTCGTGTCGCCTTCCCCCTGTCCCGTCGCGCCCCCCCCCCTTTCCCCCCGTCGTGTCGCCTTCCCCCTGTCCCGTCGCACCCGCCTCTTTCCCCCCGTCACGTCGCCTTCCCCCTGTCCCATCGCACCCGCCCCTTTCCCCCCGTCACGTCGCCCTCCCCCTGTCCCGTCGCACCCGCCCCTTTCCCCCCGTCACGTCGCCTTCCCCCTGTCCCGTCGCACCCGCCCCTTTCCCCCCGTCACGTCGCCCTCCCCCTGTCCCGTCGCTCCTGCCCTCTCCCCCCGTCGAGTCGCCCGTCCCGCAGCGCCCGCCGCTGTCGCTCGCGACCGCGCTCATCGCCGCCGCGCCTGCAGCCGTCGCTCGCCCCCTGCGCGCCTCGCTGCGGCCCCGCCGTCGTCGCCCGCCGCTGCGCGCGTCGCCGCTGCGCCCCCTGCCGTCGCCCGCTGCGCGCGCTGCTGGCCCCTGCTGCCGTACGCGCTGCCATCGCCCGCCGCTGCGCCCGCTCTCGTTCTCCGCTGCTTAGTCCCCTGTTACCTCCCGCTGTCACGCCCGCTGTGGCGTCCGCTCCTCCCCTGTCCCAGAGTACCGCCGAACCCTAATTTGCCTCTCATCTACTGCTGTCCCCTCCCTCTCCGTTCGCGTTCGTTTTCGCTATGGCGACTCAGCGTGTCCTTCGTTTCGACGCTGACGGTAGACCTCTTGATTTTTCCGTCTGGCTTCTTCGTGCTCGCCGTCTGTTAGAGAGTCAGGTCCAGGCAGGCGAGTCCCTCTGGGCGCACGCTACTGGTGCCCTACCTGCGCCCCCCGACCCTACGCCTTTAGGACCTGCCCCTGACGACGCCGCTAGAGCCCGCTTTGCCACTCAGCGAGCTGACCAGACGGCTTGGACGTCACGTGACGCTGCGGCCTGCATCGCGCTCAGCAGCCTCCTCCCTGAGTCTGAGGAGGTTCACTTCACTCAGGTTCGCACCGCTGCTGCGTACCTCACTGCGATTAAGGCCCGCTACTCTACTCCCGCTGCTGTCTCTCTTGGCCGCCTGTTCCTCCCGTTCCTGTTTCCTGACCTGGCGTCTTTTGAGCGCTCTGCTGACTTGATCGCTCACCTCCGCTCGCTCGACGCTAGTTACCGCGCTGCTTGCACTGAGGCACAGCTTGCACTGCTTCCTCCCCCTATGGCGATTACTATCTATTTCATCGCCACTAGCCTCCCTGACCGCCTTGCCTCCGTTCGCGACGCGCTTCTGCTGAAGCACCCTAGTGAGCTCACCGTCGAGGTCCTTGAGTCTGCACTCAAGGACGTCGAGAGCAACCTTCGCTCGGTAGCCGCTGCCTCTGGTGCTGTGCCCCCCCCACTCTTCCACGGGTGCACAGTCCCGCAGTTACCCACCTTTACTGCCTCACTTGCCACTGCCGCTACTGACGCGACTGCAGCTGCTGTTACGACTGCGTCGCGGTCCCGCGGTAGGAGTGGCAAGAAAGGCGGTTCTGGTGGTGGTAGTGGAGGTGGAGGCGGAGGTAGTGGAGGTGGCGTTGCGCCTGGCGGCGGTGGAGGTTCAGGGCCTGGAGAGGCGCCTCGTGCAGTGACTGGTGACTCCACTGCGCCTGCTGGTGGTGGCGACGCCCGAGTTCGTCAGTCGCCTCCTGTACTTCCTGCCCCGGTTGGCGGAGCAGCGGCGTGGTACCAGGCTCAGCGTCAGCAGCAGCTTCTGCAGCACCAGCAGCCCCTCTCCTCCCAGCAGCCTCAGCAGCAGCAGCGGCAGCAGCTGGCTCCAGGGTCGGGGCTGCGTCAGACCCAGCGCGGTGCTGCTTACACTCCCTGCACCTACCAGGTTCTGACAGGCACTCGTCGTGGCCACCCTTGTGGCCGGTTTCACCCCCCTGGTCAGTGCTTTGCTCAGCTCACTGACACGGTTCGTTTGGTCTACGGGGTTGGTGCTCCTGCCCCTGACTGGCTGCCTCTTGTTCAGCGCTACGGCTCCGCTCTGTGGGCCATGTCTGCTGAGCAGTTAGTTGATCTGATTGGTACTCCCCATGCTATGTATGCTGTTGTTGACTCTAGTGTTTCTGACTCTGCTTACTCTGGTGTTGTTAGCTTAGGTGCTAGCCTTGCTCAGTTGCCTGTTGCTAGTGTAGGTTCTTGTGTAGACTCTAGTCCAGCGGCTACCTCAGAGGACGGTTCGCTGTCGTTCACGCTGGACTCTGGAGCCTCTCACTGCTTCTTTCGTGACAGCACGACACTTACGCCTCTTCCTGCGCCTGTTTCTGTGGCGCTGGCTGATCCCACTTCGGGACCAGTCACCGCGCGTCACACTACCACCTTGCCGTGTCCGGCTGCTCCTTCTGGGTCTCTCACTGGGTTTCACGTCCCCTCGTTCTCCCGGAACTTGGTGGGCGTGCGACCCCTCGTGAGTCAGCACGTGGGTGTGTGGTTTGAGCCTTCTGGAGAGACTGCGGTGTGTGTTGACGGGGACTCTTACCAGCCCCTCGCCACTTTTGCTGCTGAGCCGGGCTCCGGTCTCTACACTCTTCACACTGGCCCGCGCGCTCAGCAGCGACTGCAGCAGCAGCAGCAGCCGCAGCAGCAGCAGCAGCAGCAGCCGCAGCCGCAGCCACAGCCGCCCCTCCTGCCCCCGGCCCCTGTTTTGCCCCCCGTTCGAGTCCTCGCGTCTCACCAGGTTGCTCCGTCCCCCCAGGTAGCTGTGTCTTGTCAGGTTCCTCCGTCTAGTCCGGTCGCTGCGTCGTGCTCCTGTCGGTCGCTTGCCCACCCCACCGTTTTGTGGCACCACCGGCTGGGGCACCCTTCTCCTCCTCGTCTTCGCGCTATGTCTCGTCAGCGTCTTGTCTTAGGTCTCCCGCGTGTCTTAACGTCGCTGCCGCCGTCCCTTGCACCACCGTGCGGTCCTTGCGTCGAGGGTAGGCTGCGCGCCACCCCTCACTCCTCCTCCCTTCGTCCGGCCACCGAGCCTTTTGAGACACTGCACTTGGACGTCTGGGGCCCCTCTCCTCGCCCTGGCCCTGAGCGTGAGCGTTTCTTTTTGGTGGTCGTTGACGACTACTCCCGCTACACCACAGTGTTCCCCCTGGCGAGGAAGTCTGAGGTGACTTCTACGCTGATCAGGTGGTTGCTTACCACCCAGGACACTCGTGGTCGTCGTGTCAGCTGTCTCCACTCCGACCGCGGGGGCGAGTTTCGCTCCGGCATTCTCGCTGGATTCTGTCGCGAACAGGGCATTCGTCAGTCCTGGACGCTTCCGGAGTCCCCACAGCAGAATGGGGTTGCTGAGCGTCGCATAGGCCTGGTCATGGAGATTGCCCGCACCTCCTTGACTCACGCCCGTGCCCCCCATTTCCTGTGGCCATACGCGGTCAGGTACGCCGCGCACCAGCTGAACCTCTGGCCACGCGTCTCTCGGCCGGAGGCTTCACCGACCAGTCTTTGGACAGGGTCCCCTGGTGTCGCGTCGAGGTTTCGTGTCTGGGGGTGCTTGGCTCTTGTCCGCGACACCTCCGCGGACAAGCTCTCGCCTCGCGCCGTTCCTTGTGTCTTCCTTGGTTTCCCTGAGGACTCCTCTGACTTCACCTTTTACCACCCTCCCTCTCACCGGTTCTTTGACTCCCGTGACGTCCGTTTCGAGGAGTCCACCCCCTACTACGTCAGGTACCCCAGTCGAGGTCTCCCGGTCCCTCCCCCCCCTCTCTTCCTGACCGCCGCTCCCCCGCCTGCTCCCCCGGTACAGCCTCCCCCCCCTGGTCCAGCCCCGTCTGGTGTGTCTCAGGCTAGCCCTCCCCCTTCGGTAGCCCCCCCTGTACAGCCTCCCTCCCCACAGTCTTCCTCGCCGCCTCCTGCAGGTGCTCCCTCTCGAGAGGTTGGTCCTGCGACTGTCCCTGTACAGGTCTCTGGTTCTGGGGGTGCTGGAGTTGGAGCTGAGCCGCGGGTTGCAGAGGACTCTT